TCATATCATAATAATTGTCATGGTCATCATCATAAGCAAAATAATTTATTGCTTTTATTTTCCCTTTAATAACTTTTTATAAGACATGGCAAAATATTTTCGGCGTACCACATGTACGCGAGCAATGACATATTCATGTAACCATACATTAATGTTCATTATCTTTCTTTCTCTCAAACCTCCCGTAGAGGTGAGTTGTAGTATTTATTCGACCATGCATGAATACATTCTTATGCATAATTTGTATCACACACACACACACACACATGCATATATATATATATATATATATATATTTATTTATATATATATATATTCACTTCACTTTCAGGAACGGATCTGCATTTACAATGCTTATCACAAGTCACATATTCAAAGAATGGACCATAATCATCTCCTCATATTTACAGACCAATTTAATGGCAAATATTTCACCTTATGAAGGATTATTTTATGAGAATTCTTATTGTTCTCCATTTTATAATTACCAGAATGATGATTATTATAATTTTGGTCTTTGGCACGCCCACGTTCATTGTTCAACCACTTGTTTTCATTTAGACTTATTATGCATTGCTGTCACATTCACTTCAAGAATGGAGCAAATCAAGTGGGACAAAATTCATGCTTAGCAATACACCTCATCCACTTCGGGCAATGGTGTAGACCCAGTGGGTCGATTTTCGTGATTTCTCATAAGCAAGTCATTGTTTTGTTCAGCCACAAGGAGTAAAGAAATCAACTCACAGTACTTTTTGAAACCTTTCTCTCGGTACTGCTGTTGCAAGACCATATTGGAGGCATGAAACATTGTGAACATTTTTTTCAAGCATATCTTAGTCAGTGATACTATTTCCACAGAGTTTCAATTTTGAAGTAATTCTGAACATCGCAGAATTATATTCAGAAACAAACTTAAAGTCCTAGAGCCTCGGATGAGCCCAATCATATCGTGCTTGCGGAAGAGTGACCAACTTTAAGATGTCATATCTTTCCTTTAACCCATTCTACAAAACAACTGGATCTTTGACTGTGAGATATTCTATTTTCAAACCTTCATCAAGGTGATGGCGCAAGAAAATCAAGGCATTAGCACGATCTTGGGTAGATGCTTATCTTTAATGGCGTCTCCAAGACCCATTGCATCTAAATGGATTTCAGCATCCAACACCGATGTCATATAGTTCTTGCCTGAATTTTCAAGGGCAACGAACTTTCTTTTCATAGTATCAGTCATATTTAAAAGAGGAGAAAATTATACCTTAGGAGCTTCTTGAGACGGTAGAGTCTCATTCAAAGTAATAATATAGAACAAGAAAAAATAAGCTAAGATATATAGAGAGAAAGAGAGGAGAGATTATTATTTCTTCTTCAATTGTGTTATCTTTCCTATCTATTACAAGGCCTTTATATAGGCATGGAAAGTGAAGAATCACTATTGTAAAATAGTGAGTGGAATGGCCACTATTGAGAGAAATGACCACTATTGAGTGGAATGGTCACTACATAAATACGTCATTGAATATGTCATTAATCATTTGAGAGGAAGATCATGGAGGAAGATCATGAGGGAGGTTATAGATATAATGGAGAATAGTAGTGAACATTACTCTTTTGGTGGTTATGGACATCCACCATAATTCAAGATTTTAAAATAGTTTTGTCTTTTTTTTCCCTTTTGATATTTGACTTCTCAAGATATTCTAGCGTAATTAACAGTAAGAGAAATTAAAACTTGTAGATCACTCAGTATACAAGTCCATATAGAAATTATCAATTTTATACAAAATAGTATATTAGATTCTAATATTTCATACTTTCTCTCCTTCCACCCCAAAACTAAAATTATAAATTAACATGAGAATGTTTAGCCTCTTTCTCCTCAACTTCAGCCATACCTTTATGGGAACAAAGAGATTTGGCATCAAGTAATTTTATTATATTTTTTTTTTCTTTTTATCTTCTATTTTTTTCTATGTTAAACAATGAACGAATTATTACTTTTGAACGAGGGAGGATCGTTAATTTCTTTTAGCTTTTTGGAATTAATAAAAAAAATAGTATTAACCAGAAGCGAGTAGATTGAACTGAAAACTATGTTAATCCATTAGAAAGCTTAGAAGCTTTAAATTCGAAAATCTAAATTTGCAAAATTATTTTTTATTTGGATTGAGTGTTGTTGCAAATGATTGTGAATATCCTTTGAAGTTTATATCTCAATTTTGAGAGGAGTTTGGTGAAGAGTTGAGGTGATTTTAGTTGAATTTTCACATTGAAACTCGGAAAAAAAAAAGACAGACAAATTGTATATATTTTGTAGAAACGGTATACAAAATATCTACAACTTACATAATTGTATAAATGTTGTATATAAATTGTATGTAAATTGTAGTTTTTGACCGAATTCTGTACAAAAAATATGTATATAATTTGTAGATAAATTATAGATTTTGACCAGATTTATATATATTTTGTAAAAAAATTTAGTTACTTTCTGTATCTGTAAATATGAAAACTTAGACAAGATCGGGTATATAAATTTAAAATCTCGTATATATACTATAAAGTCCCAAAAATGATATAATGGAGTATTCTTACTTTAAAGAACCTTACACGGTATGAATTTTAATTAACCAAAACTTGAATGCACGTACCAGTCACCATATGAAAACCTAAGAAAAAAACTTGTAAATGCAATAAGTCACTTTAATAGTTTTATATGTAAGAATTTTTTTGTCTGACTTCAATAGCCAACAATCACTGAGGTAGTCCCACATGTGTGGGTGGGATGGTAATTTTTCTCCTTATATGATTTTAAATAATTCTCACATTTTAAACTAACTTTTGAAGTTGAATTTAGTTCAATTTATATTTTTTTATCATGGTATCAAGCCAGATTCACCCAATTCGTATTTCATCCGATCCAACATTGAGCTCTCGTATTATCTTGTTTGCGCTCTAGTTGTTAGACCTAGGCAATGAAAATGTTACTAGTCACGCATCGGTGAATAGGATGACAATTTATTTCTTTATATAATTCTTGGTGATCCTTACCTGTTGAATGAAATTGGCCTATAAATAATTTAAAATATTTTAATACGGTATCGACTATTTACAAATTTTCAAAAGACCTGCAAGAAAAAACAAAGGAGTAAGAAAATTGTCATACATCAATACTCTTTCCAAAATAAAGAAAGCATTACATAATCCAGACTTTTAGTTGCCTTGTAAAACTTTCATTCAAATAAGAAATTTGAATCTATTAAGGTAAATTTCCGCTTTTTAACCAAAAATGAAATTGAAAAAGAAGTAATCTCTCCCCTCCTTACATGAGGCTTGATAGGGCTAAGTTTTCATTTAGAAAAATGACATTGTATAGTCGTTCTCAAAATAATAGCTGAAAATCTTTATTATATATATATATATACACACACTTTGTATGTTATATATAAAAAATATTCAAATTTTATATACTTTTTCGACTATCAAATATAAGTAGTTTCTCACGCGGGCTAAAAGTGATAATTACCCTATTTATTTCATCATTTGTAGGACTTTAATGGCTCATGTAGATATGGGTCTTTCATTCGGACCTTCTTGCAAGAGCTAAATTGACCTTTTGTAGGTTGTCATTATCTTGTTCACATCCTAACCTCAATTTGGAGAAATTAAAAATTATAACTATATAACGAAAAGGGTTAACTCAATCTCTTTCCTCTGCCAAACAAAAGCGTAACCATTCAACTGCCTTTTAGTTAATTTACTTTTTTTTTTCTTCTTATTTTAGCACTGCAAAAATAAATTTACTCGTACTTTTTCACGCTATCATTGTAATTTTAAGAAAATATTTGATTTGGAGTAAAAAAATAATACTTATGTGTAATTATCTTTTATACAATATTATAAAGTACTTGAATTTTGCACCGTCAACTGAATATATGTAGCACTCAAACCTCCTACAAATGTACCACTATATTTTTCCTCTAGGTTATGGTTTTTTAAGATTCTTTTTAATAACTATGTGGTGGTCAATTTGAGCATATCTTGAATTCACAGAGTACGCGCTAGTCACGGAGCCAAAATTTTCACTAGAGGAGTCAAAATATAAAGAAGTAAATCCTAAAAAATGTTAAGAGGTGTTAATATATA